CATGACCATGAAAAGGAACTGGCTGTTACGCTGTTCCTGATACTGCTCCTTATGACAACCCAAACAGCCATCTTCTTCCCAAGGTTTTATCTCCAATGGCTGTGAGCAAGCAAATGAGCAGGTGATTCAATCACTGTACTCATGACACACTTTTTATCTCTGCTCTGTACTTCCAGCGAAAGGAAGCATGCATCTTATCAGCAGAAAACAGTAGCTGAATGATACTAATGCTTGGAGTGTGATCCTGAAACCGCTGAATGGATACGAAGGTTCAAATATTTAAATCTTAGCATTCATTAAGTTAGGTTTTAAAACATCTGGGCAGGGCTCACAAGCAAGTTTCTGCAGAATATATGCTTACAGGAAGAGGCTTGGCACCACTTGCAGTCTGAAACTCTGAGCAGGCAAGCAAGACTTATAGGATTCAAAGTTAATTAGCACTGCTTCAGTCTGAAGTTTACATGGGAAACTGCTGCCAGCCTAATTTATACCTGTTCACTACACTTATAAAAACACATGCAGCCTCCACTAGCATAATCATCATGGTCCATAGAACATTAGGAAGCAGAACTAGTGGAGGTCATGTTGAGGAAGGGAGAAAAGAATCAAGTCACTCTTACAGATAAATTTTCGAAGTGTCACCTTGCTTTGTATTTTCACAGCAATGCTCTGCATCGTGATTAGTGAAAACACAGGTAGTGACCACTTCCAGATGCAGGTACTTCAGTAGGCACCCCAGCCAAGAGATGACCGTGGGTTTAATAGTTTGTAACATGGCTTAGACAACTGCTTCTTTCAGGCCTCCTTGATAAGTATAAGTAGTTTTTCCCCTCTCTTTCCTTCCCCAGTCTTCCCTGACTAGGGCCCTTTCTTCTCCTGTATTTGTAATCAAGTTCATGGTTAAACCTATTTCAGGCCAAGTTCATATAAACTCAACTTTTGGTGAATCAGGCTAGACTAACCTATTTGATACAACTGCCATAACTAAAAAAAAAAAAAAAAAAAAAAAAAAAAAGAAAAGGCAAGCACTAAGAGATAGTGTACTGGTACTTATTATTCAATCTGTTCACATTCATCTTTTGTATTCTTAGCCACATATATAAAAGACTCCTGTATTCAAGAGTTGTAAATGTTGCCACTGCACTAAGATTGACTTCACTCTTCATTCCCTCTACTCCTGTTCCCAGGCCAGTTTTGTGGTTCCACCACTCACTGTGGTGTGTGAGGCTTTTCTAAAGTGGAGAGGAAATCTAGGCTCCACATCCTTTGCATTCTAAATTTACAAGAATAACCCTTCCTTCCACTTTTTTTCTTCATTGACAGTCCTACTAACTACAGCTTTCTATGTGCAGTCACAGTAATGCAGGTTCTCAGAATTAACTATTCAGCAACAGTTCTGCAAGCCTTTCGGTCACTCCAGACTTTGCTGAGGGCTGCAAAAATTCTTTTCCCCCACCTCCCCCTCTTAACTCTACAGAAGCTGAATGTCATTTAGAGTAAGTAGTGGTAAGACATCCTCATTGTCCCCACCAGAAAAAATTCCAGCTTATTATAAGCGGATCACCTTCTCTCCAAATGTCTTCAGTACACATTACATTATTAACTTACATTTTTTCATATTTTATTATTCTGTCTTCTATTGTATATTCTAGCTAAATATCTGTTCACTATATTTGGCAATTAAGAAATTTATGGCAAGGTAACTTCAAGCCATAATTAATTTAACATGTCAATAAAACAAGTTTCTTTAACACAGCAACCTTCCTTCTCAACACGACTGAATGCAAAAGAGAACACACATCAGATTAATTCCTTTGTTCTAATTTATAACTGCCACAGCTGTATACATATCTAATCTGGGAAACACTTCTAAATGAAGCCTGCAAATGGCTCCCTTCATCAGCTTGGATGTTCCCATTATTTCCTGACCCAGCACATCTGACGCTATGGAGCTGGGGTACGTGACAGGGCCATGCTGCCACACAGAAATGTGGCCCCTCTTCTTCATAACCCCACGCTCCCAAGACCAAGAGCAGCAGCTCTGGCTCGGCCAGTAGAAACTTAGTGGTGCCCAGCAATGGCTGGAATGGCAACCAAGCATGAAGAAAATGAATAAATAAATAAAAAACAACAGTTGAACGAGTCTTTAGCATACCCTAACAACGTTGCTAAGTATCTGTTAAAATATTGCTATTTTGGAATTCTTAAAAAAATTAATACATAAATAAAAAAGCTCCATCCATTCTGCAGTATCCTTACCTAAGAATTGCTTTGGTTTAGGATTGGTATTTTTCAGAGACAATTTTAGAGATGACACCTCTGTACACAAACTTTTTTTCAATAGCAGTATCTCAGGCTAATCTGTGGACCTACTCTTCAAAATTAATAACAGTAGATTTTGTAACTGTTTTCTTGATTTCCCCATTTTTGGATTGATCTCAAAAGTACTCACCAGAGCCTAAAAGTTGTATGGGTGATGCTACCACAAAGCTAGATAAAATAGCAGAAGCCAATGTCAAATTACAGTTCTGTTAGTGTTCTATGGTTAGAGAAACAGACGAGCTTTGCACTGCTGGGTTTGCATTCAAACACAATAAAGCACTACTTCAAGTAAATACTTCTGTCAGTTGCTACAGCCCTATCTGGTTAGTAGGGCTTCAAAAAGCCTTTCCTGAACGGGAGCCAAGAAATCACAAGCATATGAAAGGCAGAGGACAACAGGTATACAACAACCCAATCCAAATAAATGCACACAAGGAGGCTTTCAAACATGCACACTGCTCCAAATGACTTCACAAAAATACTATCACTGGTGCCACATGAAAGACTGTGTCAGTGAAAGGTTCAAACAAACCAGCCTACACAAATAACATTAGCAAAAAGTGCCCAAACTCACTACGTGCCACTTATTAGAAAAGTAAGCAGGTATTTTCACTTCCCTTCTAGGGAACAACAAAGGTTTAAAATAAAATAGCAAAACAAAACTACAAAGAAACCCAAAACACGACCCCATAAAAAGCCTACCTAGACAAAAACACCCCACTTCCACACAGGAAGGTACCAAGTGTTCAGTTAGTTAGCTCCAAACCCTTTCTACCTTTTTCCATGGCCTCACAATCAAACACTTTAGTCCCAAAGTATTCCTCTAGACAGTTAATTTGTAGTCTCACATCCTGCCCAAGGAAGAAGAACACATTAGCAGATGTCCTGAAATGATGAGAGCTGCCAACAAACTAGGTTCACTACTGGAAGATTTCCACTTAAGAATCAAGTCAATGCTGTCTTTGCAAGATGTTATCAAGTAAGACTATAAATTAGAAACTGATTTGGCTACACACCTATTGTTTTTCCTTTCTCTTTTTTTTTGGAAAATCAAAAGTAAAACAGCAAGAAAAATGACACCTTAACACCTAGTGTTAGAATCATAGCATGCCTTTGCAGAGATGCACTAAGTTGTGTGGCCACAGGTCCACATTGTTTGCTTAGGGCTCTCCAGATCTGTGAGAAACAGCCAGCATTCCCGTAAATTAACACATTTGAAACTGAACCTTTTATCAGAGTGTTTTGAACTATTTCTAGTTTGCCAACTGAGAACACAGAGCAGAAGCAGAGTCCAAGTTTAATAGCTAAGCATCTGCATGGACCCGAGAACAATACCAATATTCATTAAGAGGCCAATCTCAAACTCCCTTCTCATATTTTCAAGACAAGCACTCTATTAATACATTTCCTAACCTTAGCATAACTCTTATGTTTTCATCCCAAAGCACCCACACACACATTGGTGAAAAGTTCCCAAAATTATGACAACTACGCGCCCTACACGTACCGGGGGAAAAAAAACCCCTAAAAATAAATCTCAAGGAAGCTATATATTGTGCCTTGCCAACCACAGTGAATTGTGCAGCCAGGAGTTGCTACAGCCAGATTTAGCTTCACACAAGCTAACAGGATTCCTTTATAAATTTAGCTAGAGGCACGAGCAACAAACGCTTGTGGAAATTCGAACCGCAACTCTCCAGCAGCAAAGACTGCTCCCTCCAAGAATGAAACAGTAGCAAAAGATGACTATTAGTAGGCTCTTATTACACAGCTTTCAAAACACCTATAAGTCATCATGTTCTCTAAGCAGAGTTATATGCTGAAGTACCAGTGAACATTAATAGAAAAAAGCAAGGCCACAGCTCGTTCTGTGCCTGCCCATTAACAATCAGAGGAAAAAAGCCAACTAAAGAGAGACCGTATTGGAAACGAGCTGAAAGTTTGTCTCAGTTTATTTCAGGTCTTTTTCCCTCATACTTGGAGCAGTGTGGCTTGTGAAGAAAGAAGGAAACGAGTGCTTCAGGTCTCTCAGTGCTAAACTGAAGGATGAGATCTGAAGGGCTTCTCCAGCAAGAGGGACTGGGACACACGACCCGCAAAGCAAGGAAAAGAAGAGCGCAGGATATGGGGAAATGTATACAGGGTCCTATAAGACAGCTCAGTCCCACTGCCTCGCCACAGAATCAAAGCTCCTGCTACTTAACAATAGATCAATCATATCTTTAAACCTCTTTAGGCCATACTTATCACAATCTCACTAACTTTAAAACATTTTGAAAAACAGAGGATGGGTTTTGGTGGTTTGCTAAAGCATCCCCACAAAACCTGAGGCCCTACGGAATTTTATCATATTTTAAAAGAAGTACCTTCTCCCTCGCCGAAGAAACTCGAGGAAGCCCCCAGGCTCGGGCTGAGCCGGTGCAGCTCGGCCAGGCTACCCCGGGCTCCGGCGGAGCACAAAGCGGCGCGGTGGGAGCCCGGCGCACGGTGCCCGCGGCGGGCAGCGCACAAAGGCTGCGCTCCCGGAACGCCCGCTGCGCGGCGGAGCCCCCGGCGCGGTTTCGGGGGCTGCGGGACACCGGCTACCTCCCTGCCCGCCCGCCCGCCCCGCTCCGGGAGCCGCCGCCGCCGCCCCCTCCCCGGCGCGCCCACCGAACAAAGCCCCCGGCAGCGCTCACCGGCAGCCTCTCGCCGTCTTCTGCCCTCGCCCAGCGCTCCTCCTCCGGCTGGAAATCCAGGCGCAGGGGTGCGGGCCGGAGTGCGGAGCTTACCCCGCTCCGCAGCCCATTCAGCGGCGCCGGGCGGGTGTCCCCCTCGCAGCGCCCGTGGCCGCGCCCCGGCTCACTCCGTGCGCTGCAGCTCCGGGCAGCGGCTTAATCTCCAAACTTCCTCCTCCTCCTCCTCCTCCCGGCCGGGCAGAGGAGTCTGTGCAACTCCCCTCCTCCATGCAGCTCCCGCAGCCCAGCCGCTGCCTCAGCCCCTCCCCGGGGAGGCCTGGCCCGGCACTGGGCTGGGGCTTGCTCTGCTCTCCTTCCCCTCCCTGCTCCGCCGCCCCCCAGCCCCCGAGGCTGGGAAAGGGGGGAAGAGAGATTAACCACTCGGATTTGTCTTTGGAACGGAGCCAAAGAGAGCAGTCGGATTACAGCCCCGGGAAGAAGAAGGGAGGAAAAGGGAACGGGGGATAAAAAAAAAAAAAAAAAAAAAAAAAAAAAAAAAAAAAAAAAAACCCCCCACTTTTTTTTTCGGGGGGGGAAAATTTTTTTTTTTTTTTTT